TAGGGGGGTAGCTGCCCGTATTAAAATTGTTGGTAATTATTTGTAAAAAAGTTTATTGTTATATTCGGGGTGTAGTTAAGATTTTTGCGTGAGGTGCCTATAAAAATTTGGCTTCCTAATTTTTTATTTTTTTAATATTATCGATAAGCAAAAAATAATTAATTTTTTGCCTACACTATCAAATGAAATTCATTACCAAAAATTTTTTCCTCCCTTAACTAGCCCCTAAATATAACCCTGATCACGTCGTTTTGAATAATTACTTATTTTACCATATAAATACACCTTTATAAACAAATATAACGTTTTACCAAAGGTAAATAAAATATAATAGATAATTGCGTTAAGTATGTATATATTTTTTTGTAATAAATAATAGAAGTATAGTATATAAGAAAATAAAAAGTCTTTAAGACATTGAAAAGAAATTTAAATGTTCATATTAAACTTAAATGTAGTAAAAAATAGATTGATAATCTATAAATATTTCTATACATTTTGGAAAATAATTTATAAATTCAAATCGGTTATTTTCACTTTTATTAAATTTATCAATTGCTTCTTTTGTTTTTTTGAAACGGATTTCAATTTTATTCTGTACGCTCTTCGAGACTAAACTGTCACGACGTATGCTTCCGTTTGTATTGCTTTTTATGCAAAACGAAACTTGAAATTATTCAATACAATTACTTGTTTCCTACTTTTGATATATTTAAAGGGCATATTAATTAAAAAAGTAAAATAAAAAGAACGAATGGGAAAATAATTATCGATATACCGATTATCTAACTAACTGTAATAGAATAGGAAGAAGTTCGATTAAATGATAAGTAAAAAGTTGATAATCATTATGGGGTTATTTTTTCAAATATTTTAACCAGTGATTCTTAAACTTCCAATTGAAGACAAGTAATATAGTATCGGTTTGGCGGAAACGATGAACGCCCATAAATACTAGTATTTTAACTGTTCACATTAAACAATGCCAATAGAAAAAAATGAGCCCAGCTCGTTTGTTTTCAAATATGTCTTTAAAAAATTTAGCAAAATTATATGCATTATTTTAGACGGCCTGGTGGTGGGTTAGTTGTAGACACGGCACCGCCTTACGCTCTAGGACGGCGCTCGCCTGTGTCTCTCTCGATATCAGCCGTCCAGCTATTAATATGACAATCAGTTGTCATCGGGTGTCTCATGGCCCCTGATACCGTGACAAGGCCGCCTCCGAATATGGTTTACTGATATGCGTTCTGTTCCGTTTCCGACGAACACCTAATTGGTTGGCGATTCAAGTTGGTTTTCGGGTTCTTTACGACTACAGTTTTTCGGCTTGTGTTTACATAATTACGATTGTTTCTTTTTTTTTTTATGAAACTATACTTATATATATTGTATATATACTTATACAAAACGTATTAACCATATTAATATATGTATTGTAATAAGTGTAGTTTCTATTTTTTCGTCCAATACGAATTACGTTATAATTTGTAATCAGTTTAAGTTGGTGTTTTCAGTCCTATTGGATTTCATATTAAATGGCTCCCCAGATCAGGGATCTCAACCGGCCGAGAGAAGTTAAGGTAAGATTTTTTAAGCCGATTCAGTTTTTATTTCTAATTATATTATATTTTAGTTTTAACTCGAAATGGTGAAGTCTCCCTTATATATTTGTATTGTTCATATAGTTATTTGAATGAATGTCACTGGTGACAGCAGTGAATTTTTATCTGGATTATTCACGGTTACGTGTTAGCGGAATTAGATTTAGCCTGGTCTTTGGAAAATTTTTATAAAAATAAAGAGTCGTTTATCTAATACAATCCGCCGTAAATATTGTCGTTGAAAAGTGTTGGTTACAGTTTATCATAAAGACCTTATTGATATCGACAAAAAGTGAATTTCCGTCCAATAGTTACAGTTTTTTGGTAGATAAAAATAGTATATTTTCGTCTGACCTTGTCAAAGCGGCCGATTCCCAGGTAACCGTTATTATTATATTTCACTCGTTGCCATATCATAAACGGCGGCCCCGTACCACCTTATCGCGGTACTTCATAACAACAATAGAAATAATACTAAGACGTGTTTTTCTACAGTAGTAGTAAATTTGACCGTACACGGAGATATTGTTTATCTCCGCTTTTTACTTAGCTACGTTTGATTATTAAGGTTTGTAAATAACACATAATATTCAAGGTCAATATGTGGGGGAAATCATTAGCACAAATGAATTGCGCTGAACTACGTCGCGAATGCGCTTTTAGACAGCTACCATGCTACGCGACGAAACCCAACATGCTAATCATGCTAGAGGAAAACCTACGTAGCGAAGGGAGGAATCCAGCTACCGAAACTTTACCATTCCGTACGCCGCTCGATAACGAAATTCCGGTCCGCGAACCCAAAGTGGGGGGGGTTTTCGACACTACGGACGGTGTCGGCGAAGAAGAAATCGACGCGAACAATCAGCGGGCCGCCGTAGCGCCTTTACCGGAGGAACATCCGGCGAACCTCGCGCTACGCACATCAGACGACGAATCTGATGTCGAACAACCGGGCGAAATTATGCGCGCAAGCGGACAACTAGGCGCGCTCTACGTTGAGGACGTATACGTTGCCCGCTCGATAATGCACGCGGCAGAACAAGTCGGGACGATCCGACAGAACATTCGCGACATTTCGAATAACGCGCGCGGATTGAGGAACGGATGACTGAACTAGAAAGGTCGCTGTCGCGTATGTCAATGGAACAGCGACAAATTTCCAACATGTTCGAGCGAATCAGTCAAAATATGTTGCCGTCCCCACATGTTGCTGTACAACCGACTATTCGACAAGTTAACGTTGAACGAAATGATAGTCAACGATCGGACGCGTATCGCGTTACATTCGGTCCATCGGGAGTGACGGACCCGCCGCAACACTTCACGAGCGCCTCGCGGACATCGAAGCACAAGAAGCGTACCGATAGGTACAGCGACTACAAAGACGATTGTAGACACGCTCGAACGCGAATTTTTCTCACGTTTTCGGTACCCCCGCGTATTGTTTTGCGACAGCGGAAGGAATCTGGTTTCTAACGAAATGATTAACGTGATAAATAGATGGGGGGGGCGGAAGCGTGGACCACACCTAATTATCATCCGCCCGCAAACCCGGTAGAACGAAAAAATCTGGAGCTAAAAATATAGTTAAAAAAAACTAAAAAACACGCTTTTAAAGCACATTGAACTAAAAAGTTAAAAATAATTTTTATAATAAGCTTAAAACAATAATGTACGAAAAGTATTAGTATTATTGTGATAAAAGTGTGGGTGCTTTGTGCCATATTTTTCGTATATTAAGCGCCCGACGTGGAGGTAGTATATATATATAATTAATGACACGCACGCGTATACGGGCACGAAAACCAACTCCCCCACGCAAACTTCACGTCTTATGTTTAAAATTAAAATAGCTAACATAAATTACAAATTTCGGTTCGAGTGCGGACCGTCATTAATGTATAATAGTGTTGATGGGCAGTACTGATTTTCAGCATGTCAAGTCAGAGGGCTCACGGGGACGCTGCCCGCGAGCGTGACGAGCTGGTGCGCGATCTCTTCCCCCGGTTGGCGGAGGCGCTCGACGTCCCGCTGGCTCACGCCCCGGCGATCCGTGCGTCGGTCGAGGCGGCCTGGGACGCTTGGCTGCACCAGATCCTTAGGCATCCGATTGCTAGCGCTTTCTACAACTGGAGGATGAGGGACGAACGGGCGACTACACTCCGCGAGAGACGGAGGGCTCTAGCCACCGTGCCAGTGGTCTCGTGGCCTGTGCCGTGAGAGGGTGCTACCTCCTCTTCAAAGTACCCGGCTACTACTACCGCGGTGTTGCAGCATCCGACGGCGTCGGACCGCCGACCGTCCCGCTCCGGCACCCTACGTCCGGGACAGAGAGTCCGACGTGGCGAGCACGTCTTTCGGGGCGGGCTCGGCCACCCGGCCGCCACCGGCTCACCCGGGCTACAGGAAACTCATTCCGTCCGACGTATGCCGGTGGTAGCGCATCAACCGAGCCTTCAAGGAGAGGAAAGACCGGGAATGGGAAGCGGTCGTCCGTCCACCAGCCACACCGGCGCCACCAACACCAGCACCCAGGACTCATCCACCACCGCTGTCAGCCATCGTCCGGACCGACAGCTCCACACGGCCGACATAACCACCAACGTCGGATCAATTAATATTAATCTATATTACCACGGTGACTAATACTATGCAGCATCTTACTATACATCTATAATAAATATATATATATATAAACAATACTTAGTGTGTGTGGTGTTCACCGTATATTGGATACGCGTTATAAAATGTGTAGTTGATTCAGGTTTTAACGGCAAGTTTCAGTTATTTATTAAAATATATATTTTCTTAATCATAAAATAATAATTTGGAAATAAATATCAAGAAATCGTTTTTAATAGTTTAAGCAAAAGTACTATTCCTGATATTGTTTATTACTCATTTAGTATTTTTATAAGAAAAGCTCTAAAAATGATTATTTTGAAATTAAAAAAATTATAACAATAACTTATTGTTTTATTGCTAAAAAGAAATAAAAAAAATATAATTTTAACATTGCCAAGGATTATACAAATAATAGTTAGATGGGAATTTTTACTAAAATGGAATCACAGAAAAAAAAAGACCACTAAAAGGCCCATACAGAGGTGGATAGACAAAGTTTAAAATAATTAATTGGAAGTAGGAAAAAATCATATAGTCGGATTATACAAAATATATTAATTATATTAACTGCAATAAAAAAAATAATTATGACTAAAAGAGATAACATTCCAATAAAAAAATCAATATAAGATAAAAAAAATTTAAAAAACTTAAATATTTTTACAAAATTTATTATGTAAATTAACTACAATAAAAAAAATCATTAAAACTAATAAATACAACATTACAATAAGAAAATCAAAATAAGATAAAAGATACTAAAGAACTACTATTGCTTAAATATAAAATGAATAAAATTAAAAAAAATATAACTGGCGTTGTATCAATAAAAATCTCCAAAAAATGCCGAAATCGAATCCAGTTTATTATTCATGAAATTTTTTTCAATTTGTAGTTTATCATTAAAGCTGTTGGCTAAAGACTGGCACTAAAAAATAAAAATACAAAATTCAGTAAAAATTAAACATGATTTGTCAACGAACATACTTCTCCAAGATATATATTTTTTGGCAAATGGAGTACAATATTTGGGGCAATTTTTCGAGCTAATTCAAAAATGTCGAAACCATCATGCCCCTGATCTTGACACATGTTCCTTAGGGTGTAGTTTTTTTTTTTAGAATAATTAGGTCCGCCCCAAGGGGGCGATGTGACAATAACATCCGCTTTAAATCGATTAGCCAATTTAAAAAAATCTCCCACAATAAATATAATATGTTTCTCCACGCCGTAAATTTTTGAGTTATGTATGGCCATTTTAATTTTTTCAGGATCTTTGTCGATCGCTATGACTGAAAAATCAAAATTAGATATGCACGTCAATTTTGTAATTCATTACTAACATATACTGAATAACTACTTAAATTATTGCGTTTATTATTTGATAAAAAAATAAAATAGTTGTAATCGTGTTTACCTTTGGTGTAGAACCTGGCTAATTGAATTATGTTCCCACCAGCTCCACAAAATGGGTCCATTGCTACTTTGCCCTTGCAACGTTGGGCGATGTGATAACTTAATATTTCCGGACAGACCGAATAGAAACTTTCGGCGTCCAATTGTATGCCTCGATCATATTTATTGAAGAGACTGTACCGTTTATCCCAATATTTTTTTAGTACATTATTCGGTCGCACTTGTTTTATATTAATTTTATCGGGATGAGAACTCTGTGTAAAAAAAAAAAAATAAAGTTTATTGGACTTATTAATCAGCATAACAATAATCGTTACTTTAAAATGTATATCTTTGACTTCCATTGATTTGAATTGAAAAGTCGAATTACGATTACTATTTTCGAAAATTATTGTATTCAATGTTTCATTTTCATTGTTTTCGAAGTCATCATTAATTTTCAATTGAGTAGTGTTGGACGTAATCATTCCTTTATTATTGTCTTGATGAAGTTTGTTGGTGATATTATTTGATGGGTAAAATTTTTGAGTTTTCCTATTTCTACTGTTATAACTAAATCTATTATTGCTATTATAGTAACTAAATCTATTATTCCTATCATTATAACTATCACTATGACTAATACTAAGGTTGATTTTCTTCTTGTAAGTCTTTGAAGAAAAAAAAGTTTTTGTTGACTGAAAAGTCAGTGTTGTTGCCGACCTTTCTGGAGGGGTAGCCGCATACAAATCCGTTCCGATCTCCAAACAGTCCGTTGCCAATGACCTCCCGGCTATTTCACCGGCGGAAGTGGCTTGGTCACCACCACTTCCTGCAGTCGCAGTACCAACCCCGTGGTTGGCTGCAGGAGCCTGCCTCAACACTCCTGCATTTGACGCGTATTCGATTGATGTCGACACCTGGTGGGTACGCCCCCCACCAACCGCCGGCACTGGGGCATCCGAATCCCCTGATGCAGTAACTTTGTTGCCAGTTAGATCCATTGTTCATTGAATAAGCTTGTGAGGGGGCTGCCCTCATAGCCTAACCCTCCGGCCAGTGAGCGGCTAACTTCACTGGTTGCGTCGTGCCCATTTGTCTCCGTTCACACCCAAACGCTACCGCTTATTCGTCCGTAAAGGCTTATATCACGGCTACCCTGTATATCTACAGGGTTAACGAGCGCTTGGGCGGCTCGTTGTCCGCGACCGCTTATTCGTCAGTCCAAACCAATGGACTGCTTATTTCGCGGCTGACCTGCATATCTGCTGGCCGTTCCTCCATCCGCAACCTGAGGACGCGCCCGATTCCCCGAGCTAGGAAAACTGCGCTCGTGCCGACGTTTCGTAGCTCCGTAGAGCCCGATCACACCGACACTGTAGCGCAGCTCAACGGGTAGTTTATTCAATGTGTCATCCGAAAATCCAATCTGTCCTGTTTCCGATGTCCGGTAAGTAGTTTCGCCAAACCATCTGGGCACATAAAGTCCGACCCTTTATTAATAAAATGTATTGTGAAATTTACCAGCAATGTTTGAAATATTCACATTTCCCAAGACAATAAGAACTTGATTGAAATTTTACTTAAAGAATTTTATCAACTTAATTATGGTTCAATTTAATAATAGACTTCTTTATAGAATAACGGTTTATTGCGGAAGAATTTAAACTGAATGATACAAAAAAAAGAAAACAATTAAATTAATTATGTTGAAGATATTTTTTTTGTATTCTAAATTGCAGACAAATTATTAAAAATTAAAATAAACTATTCGTATAGTATTATATTTGTGTATTTTTTGCTGTAGTAACTTCAGATATAACAAAAACGATCATTTTTTAAACTACTCAATTTTATTTTTTATTTATTTTATTATACATTTTTTTGTTTGTTGAAATTTCAAAGGAATCTTTCATAAATTTAAAAAGAATAGTTTGGGTATTAAAAAAAGTACAATTTTTTTTGTTCACTTTATAATTTCGTTGAAAATACTTAAAGTTTCGTTTTGTCACTTACATACTGTTTAATATTATATAATTTTAAATATTGCAATATTTTCATTTCTATGTCTGGAATGTATTAGAATTTTTGATATTTAGTGATATATTTTTTGTGATATTAGTGGAAAATTTTTTTAAAATTAAATTTTAATGATATTACTTTTAGGTTAAAATAAATTAGAACGATTTTTAGTTTACTGGAAGATATTTTTTTATTTTTGTAGTTATTCTCTTAATACTTTTATTTTACAGCTATTTAATTCAAAAATTGATTAAATATGTGCATTCAATATTGAATGCGCATTTTTATTCCAGGAGACTTTTAATTATATCAATTCATAAATACTAAACATGTGTTGAGAATATACAACAACAATATTTGTAGACAATAAATTAGACAGTAGACAATAATAGATAATAATTTAATCTGTAAGCTTAAATGTGAATTCATTATTAAAAATCATGACTTTTGAATCAAAAGATTTAATTTGGACACATTAATTTATCAAATCAGTCTTCTGAGAAACCCCTTTAGTTCAAAAAAAATGTATACAAGATAAAAAAAATTTCATACTTTCGTATTTTTATTAAAATTTTTCTTATCTAATATTTGATGTAAATTTTATTGATAATTTTATGGTTACTTTAAACGTATTATATTGTGTTGTATATTTACCATATGATAATTGTATGATTATCAAATAAAGATACTAAAATATCTGCAGTGATAATTATTGTAAAACAGTATACAGCTAAAATTAATTAATTCAATATGCTTTAATTGACAACCATCCATTAAAAATGTGTAGGTACATCGTAGAATTGGCGATGATTACAGAGTATTTGTTGATTCTAACGTTAAAAAACTAAAATTGATAGAATGTAATATTATTACCATATGAGATTCGTAAATCCCATTTTTTAACTAACAATCAATAGTCTTAGGAGAATTATACTTTTTGTAAATGTTAATGAAACCACTTAGGTTTGAAATCATTAAATTGTAGGATCTTAAAAAAATAGTTAATATGCTTTTTACAAATATATCTTTATCTCTATTTAATACTTTTACTTTATTACACGTCATACATCACCAAAATATTTAAAAAGTTATTCTTCAAAACTTTTCTACAATTTTAAAAACTCTTATCTTAAAAACATCATGGTGTTACTTAATATTTTTATGTACTTAATGCTATACTATCATGTACTTTCGTTTATGTTATCAAATTAAAATAAATTTTATGAATGAGTTTGGTGCTAAATCAGTCAATTGAGAAAACCCTTTAGTACAAAAGTAATAATTGTAAAAAAAAAAAAAAACTTTCCATTATTTTAACTTTTTTTTTTTAATGATGATTGTAATTAATATAAATAAAATTAATTTTAGTTTAATAATGATGACATTAATTTACTAGAAATTCTTTAATTATTCATATTTCTCAAGACTTTTAGTGCTTGATTAGCGTTATATTGAAATTTTGCTTATAAAATTGTTTCATCTAATAATTATGGTTCTTGATGAAAATAGTCCTCCTCTTTATAAAGTAATGGTTCATTGTGGAAGAATTTTAAATATATGTTACAAAAAAAAAAAAATCAGTAAAAGACTAAATTAATTATGTTAAAGATATGTTTTTCTTTAATTTCAGTCGAATTATTAAAAACCATTTGTATGATAATAATGAAATAATGATTTGTATCATATATGGTTTTACATAATGGCAAAGGCAAAATCATACAAATAATTATGAATGTAATTAATATAAATAAAATTAATTATGCTAAAGATATTTTTTTTTATTACAGATATCACAAAAATTAATTTTTTGGAAACTACCGAATTTTACTTATTTTTTGTATTTAATAATAGTAACATATTTTAATTAATGGAAGTTTTATAAAAAGTATATTTAATCTATAAATTAGAAAATTAATAGCGTTATCATTTAAATATTATTGGATGAGATGGATATTTAAAATTTTTTTTTTTACAGAAATTAACCTTATTTTTGTTTTTGAGGATACATAAATTATAAATAACGCCTCCTGTAAATATTTTTGTAATATAGGCATATGAACATTAAAGAGAAGTTAAATTTTAAAACCAAAAAATGTATCGACTTTTCACATTTTCTTTAATTTTTATAGTAATGATCATGTAACTTATTTGATACATGTATTTTGTGCATTAAACTTCCTCACCAAGAAGCATAATTAAGATTTAGCAATACTGTAATATGTATAAATTACTTTATATTTATTAATTATAATGCTATCTATACTCAAAGTTTTGAAAACACTTGTTTTTAGTGTACTTATACATAGATAGCGTTCTATTGTTGAAATATTCTTTTTTAAATTAACTACGTGTTGTTGCAGCTACATATGCATATACTAAATCAGCGGTATCATTTTAATTTTTTTTTCTGTGGTACGCATAATATAAAGGTCACTCTGAATTTAAAGTTGTGTGATAGAAGAAAGGAGAGGGAAAAATCGTTCAAGGCAATGACTTTTAGTATTTTATTTTCATATTGCTTTACAAATTATTATTTTATGATTAAAAACGAAAATATTTCTAGTTTTTATTGTCGTATAACGTTTGATATAATAATTCGTTTCAACTGCAAACATGATTTTACTTAGTAATTTTTTAGTTTTTAATTCTATTTGTGTGTGTATCTACCAGTCTATAATATTTCAATTTTTTTGATAACATGTTGCTGTATGAATTTAATAATGGATTTTTACATATATAATAAAATTTTTTAATACTCTGAATTGAGTATATTTTTTAAACAATTTATTCATAAATTATACTTAAATGTAAGAACTACTTATCAGGATATAATTAAGGAAATAAGAGTTTTATTGCTTTTGTAATTATGCAACAATTTCTTAGAATTAAGTACTATCTATAGATTTATTTTGTATTTGTCTCATTTTGTATTTCTTTAGCTCGATAAATATGTATGTTGAAAAAATAAAGTAGAAATCATTATTATGAATACTATACAGGGTGTTTAGTAAGTCAGGAAACGGGTTTCTATTGTTCTCATTGTTTATAACGATTTACCTGTTTCATTACCTACTGAACACTCCGTATAAGAATTGAACATGAAAACACTTCACAATTGATAAATTGAGAAAAACATGCAACAAAAAGAATATACAAAAAAAAATATTCAATGTTATACTTATTTTTAGATTAATTAAATGGTTATTATTATAGAATCAAATTTTATTTAATAAATTGTGTTAATGAGCCATCAACATAATTTATTTTTAGCTGCTAAGTAAGAAAAATTTCCAATTACGATTTCGAATTATTGTACATGTCAATTATAAGACCTTTTTCGTCACGTCTTGTTCGTAAATATGACTCAATCAGTTATTCAATTGTTTCACATTTATAAGTTATGGCAAATTATCGAAATATATGTATACAAAAATTATAATTGTTATGTAAATACACTATATCTCAGATTTATCCAACAACGCTCATAACTATTGATTTAATTATCCCTGTTACAAATTTTTCTTTCATAACTATTACGTTTTTAGAATTCGTTTAAATTTTATTATATACCACTAATTAGAAAAATATTAATAAATATCATTTTATTTGAATATGATAATTTTTAATACTTCAAAATATTACCCAGTGTTTAAAAGAAAGTAATTGAATTTTAATTGTTTTAGTTAATAGAATATATTTATTTATTATAAAAGCACGACCATAAGAGTAAATACAATATAATTTAAACTTCAGTATATAATTATAACAAGTTATTAAAAATATAATCATTACTATTTACTTCACATTTCATATTACTTACATTATAGTGAGACAAATCTTCTACTTCAGTAATATTCTTCTACGGCGAGTTTATTTGCATTATTTTGCAGGATTTAAATGATTCTAAAAAAATATATGAGATATTCAAGATGAATAAAAATGTGTTAAACAAGGTTTTAGTGAAAAAGAAAAAGCTATTAAT